TAACCTTGAAACAGTATGGTCCCCAATGTAGATTAAACAGGCAGGACCATTGATGTACTACTGCTACATGGTGCAAATTTTGATTCGATGCCACATCACCCCATGATACTGGGTTAGCGGTCCTTCGCTAGCCCTCACAGTTCACAATCCCTTGAACTATAACATAGATATTTTTTCGATCATACTATAAGGTAAACATAATATAGCACACACATTTCCATAAAATATTTTGTAAATTCAAGTTATATCAACATAGTATATAACAAGGAAGTTTCATGGGTAATAACTATGTCACATAATATTAATATCACTCGCTTGAGTCCTTCACATTTCTAGATCTATCGACACCGCTAAAAAAACCTAATAGATTACACAAAACCCCACTTAGGAAACTTAGTAAGACTGACACGTAAACCAAAACCAAGCGCCACTTGCATGTAATTTGAGACGCACGACAATCAGGAACAACATGTCATTGTGATGAGCGCAGGTTGACTAAAAAGCCAACCATCGCATTAGAATAATTCAAGCCACGTTGACTAAAAAGTCAACCGTCGGTCAAAATAGGCCCCACTAAGACCTACTCCAACCCTTGGAGTAAAACTCAAATTTTAAGTTCTAAATATATCCCAATTTACTCCAACCCTTATAGCAACTCCAACGTTGCAAAGGCCCCCTAGGGCAAGTCACTATTGAATAGCCTCCAATGAACAGTAACTGCATTTTGCATCTCTACCCCTACATTGAATAGTCATGGCAATAGGCAACAAAATATTAGTATTTTTTATTTTATAAAATAATAAAAATAATTTTATTTGTAATTTCGGATAAGATTTTTAATCGTTCTCCTTGCGTCACGTGTCATTATCTGAAAAGATAATTTTTGGTGATGGATTTCGATAAGATATTTATCCAATATCGTCGTGCCACGTGTCATTACCTTTTCAGAATCGTGGAGGATAGATTTCAATAAGATATTTATCCCATGCCAATGAGCCACGTGTCGTTACCTTTTCATAATCGTGGAGGATAGATTTCAATAAGATATTTATCCAATGCCAATGAGACACGACAGATTTCCGATAAGATTTTTAATCAATCATGGGGCACCACGTGTCACAATCTATTTACAATCTTTGAGGATAGATTTCGATTAGATTTTTAACGAATGATGGCATGCCTCGTGGCATTATCTACAATCTAATCATTTCTTTTTCCTCCATATAACCCACCATCCACCCTAAGAAATCACACACCAAAATCAAAATCTCTATCATTATTCATAGTTTCTGCTTCCTTCTTACAATGTCTTCTTCAAGGATGTTGTGGGAAATCGATGAGCAAGAGAAAAAATTGTTTAAGCAAGGGGAAGAAATGTTCAATCTCCAGGTGGGCGAAAATGTGATGGAAGAGGATGAGGAGCGTAGAATGAGAGATGACGAAGCAAGAAGCCAAAGAGCCTCACATTATCGTCGAGTCATCCAAACTGTGGCTCAGATCTCCAGGCTCAGCCGTTCTGCAAACCTTGATAGAAACCGGCAACGACGAGGTACACATCTCTTGGATGATTATTTTGTCCGTAACAATGCATTCCCTGATACGTACTTTAAACGTCATTTTAGAATGGAATGACATTTGTTCAACAAATCATGATTGCTATTTGCAACCATGATTCTTACTTTGTGCAAATGAATGATGCTTTTGGTGTTATGGGTTTCCTTCTTGAGCAAAAAATTATTGCTACCTTGTGGATGCTTGCATATGGAGCATCTGCAGACCAAGTGGATGAGATAGCAAGGATGGGGAAATCAACCATTCTTGAGTCCCTAATGAGGTTTTGCTCCACAATCGAATATATCTACACCGCAGAGTACCTCCGGAGACTTACTGAGATGGACTTGCAAAGGTTTCTGAAGAAGGCCGAGATGTGAAGTTTTCCTGGGATGATTGGAAGCATCGACTATATACACTGAACCTGGAAAAACTGTCCAAGTGCATGGCAAAGAGCTTATGAGGACAGAAAATGAGCAAAAAGTATCATTTTGGAGACGGTGGCATCATTTGATACATAGATTTAGCACAATTTTTCCGGTGTTCTGGGGACTTAAAATGACCTCAATGTCCTTGCTCAATCCCCAGTGTTCAACGATGTCCTGCAAGGAAAAGCATCAAGAGTCATGTACTGCGTCAATAGATGTAAATACCACGGGCCATACTACCTAGCAAACGGCATTTACCAAAGGTGATCATCGTTTGTCAAAATAGTGCCACGTCCGTGAAGTGCAAATGAAAAACACTTTGCAAGCTATCAAGAGGGGTGTAGGAAAGATGTGGAGCGTTGCTTTGATATCCTTCAAGCTCGTTGGGCGATTGTCAGGGGTGCTGCCATAATATTTGATTTAGAGTCGCTTTGATCCATCATGATGACGTGCATCATTCTTCGCAACATGATTGTGGAAGATGAGTACAATTATGATGCCGTTGATGAATATGAGCCAAACACGATGAACAATTCTAGAACACAAATATATTGTGCTCATGACGCCATCGAAGAACTCGTGCAACATGAGCCATTACAAAGGGATGGACATTACAATGAAAGGCTCATTCAACGATATACTGCACTTCAGGACCCATATATGCACAATGCCGGGTCATTTGACTTGATAGAGCACCAGTGGGAATTGAAACAAGCTGAAGAAACTTAAGTTCATTTAGTGAGATTTTTTTTATTTGGTGTGTTTGTAATTTTATTTGGTATCTCACGATCTTGTTGAGCCCTTCTTTCTTCTTTTAGTTCTTCCCTTTCTTGCCTAAGTAGCTCTCTTTCTCTCTCATTATCCTGAAATAATCTCTCAGTAGCTGCAGCTTTTGCCTCATCTCTAGCCTTATCAGCCTCAAATTTAATCATTTCCCGCGCCAAAGTCAACTCACCTTGGCGAGCAAATTCTTCCATATATTTTCCATAATCATTTTTGGAAGCACTCCCTTTTCTTTTTGAAGCCTTCTTACCTAGATGTCTAATTGGATATCGGGTCGACCCCGACGCTTGTTCAGGGGGCGTTTCCGGCACTTCTTCTGTTTCGGTTTCATGAACATACAAGTCATGAACGGTCGTAGAGTGTAGATAGGTGCTGCTTATGACAACATCTGGACCGATAGGCACAACTTAAATTTAGGACAATTTTTGACAATATTCCAACGTTCACACCGGGTGAATGATTTATTTTTGGTTTTGGCATTATACCAAGCTTGTGCTTGAAGTGTCTACACAATGCAGGAGAAGAAATAATTATAATCAAAGTAGCTAATCTAAATTTGGGTATAGTATAAACAAATAAATACTATATTGTTGTTACCTGATTTGCTAAATTTTCCCCACTTCAAAGATTAGAACTAGTTTGTGCCAAGGCGTCTCTCAAAAAACTAAACGATTGGCTGAGTATTCTCCAATGACTGGATATTGATTCTTTGGTTCTTTTCCCACCAATTTTCTCAAGATAATTGGTATGAATAAGACTCCATATTTCTCGCAACTGCATCTCATTACCCGTAATCGGATCATTAGTAACTTCAACCCAGCTAGAACACAACGTAATATCTTCAATAAGCGTCCAATTCATACCTGCATCATTAGTCATTTTGTTCAAAACCAATTGGATTGAAACTTTGAGAGAAAGATTGGAATATGGTTGAAAGTATTTGAGAAAATATGAAATTGTGGTTGAAACTTTGAGAAAATATGAAATTATGGTTGAAACTTTGAGAAAATATGGTTGCAAGTATTTGAGAGAAATATTGGAATAAGGTAGAAGATAATGAGAAGGTATTTATAGAAAAGTAAAATCAATTTTTTTAAAATTTAAAAAGAATCAGATTTTTTATTAATTTTTAATATGTTTTATTAACTTAATTAATTTCTGCCGTTGGATTTAAAAAAATTTGAAATCGAACCCTCCAGATTGTGCCACGTGGCATAATGGTAACATTTCAAAATTTTTAAATGTGATTTTTTTTTAATTTATAAAGGCGAATAACGTGGACCGTTGATCTCAAATCCAATGGCTAATATTTAGGAAGGTTTCAAATTTTTTTTACCATTAGAAATCCAACAGTCTAGAACAAGTGAACGTTGAAATCCAACGGACTAGAAAAAGCCACGTGGCCACCAACAGTAACATTCTGTCGTCTGCACCACAGGCCCCAGGCTTCTGAAATGTTGTCAGGATGCGCCCCCATGCGCACGTGTTGTGCACGCGTCTAACGCAAAAATAATAAAAAGGTCGCTGACGCCACCCTGACGCCAGCGTTGCATCATCTGGCCCTTGGGCTCCTTGGCCACCAATTCACGTCGAGCCTCTCACTCGAGCCCTCTCCCTCCCCAATCGCCTGCATGGGCTGGCAGTTGTTGCCGGGGCGTGTGGTTCTTCAAAGTAGCCTATCCATCAGGCTCCAACGTACGATGGAGCTGCTCTTAGGCCAAATATGAGTTTTGACCCAAAACTCATTTTTTAGGCAAATTTAGGTCAGAATACCCCCTATATATGTGTAATTTTTTTAGTTTTATATTTATAAATCCATTGAATCAAACAGCTAAGATCTAATATGATTAAATTCACTTGTAAAATAAAATAAAATCTAACGATTCAAATTTAAATCCAATGACTAAAATATTTTTTTTTTCATGTGTTTCATATTCTTTCATAGTGTTCCTCAAGTTTCATGGTATCAATTTAGTGGGTTTTCAATATTTATCAAGATCTAAAATTATTTAGATTAAAATGTTCATAAAATTAAATTACAATAGTCTACGTATTACTTTAAGAAAGAAAAATTATTCTAAATTCATTCTTTAATTACAATAGTCTACATAATTTTTTTTTTTTTAAGTTACTTTAAGAAAAAAAGTATCCTAAATTCATTCTTTAATAATCTCGGGCTAAAAATTTAACGTGTAAGGGTTGGAGCAGAAAACTGTTTCTGAGTTAAAAATTTTAGGTTTTAACCCAACGGTTGAAGATATTCTAAGGTCAACAATCCTAGGTTATTCAATCCGAAAGATCTACACATCAGATTTCCAATTCATAAATTCCTAAGGGCATCAATATGCTTCCACAACAACATATTACAAAAGGACCACAGTCGTAATTTCCAATATTGATTTTTGAAACCTATATTTATAGCATTTTGTGGATTAATGATGTAGAAGGCAGATTTTTGTATAAACTTGGAACCGATGGTAAAGGTAAAGCTGTTTGATTGAAACTCAACTAAGAATCTCAACGGTCCAGAGTCCAGACAGCAGCATAGCCATGTAAATCCTTGGGTACTTTTGACTTTTGACACATTCATGAATCCTTAGTGCCCAAGTAAATCCAAGTTGTAGAATACTTCCACTTCTAAGATAGATCTAAGAGGAAGGCTAAGGCCAGCCGCTCACTGCATGTGTGACTGTCAGCCGTAAATGTGTGCGCGTAAACTCTATATAATGACATAGGCCGGGAGAACGCAAACATGAGAAGGACTAACTAAGCATATAACAAGTTAACAACCACAATTCACAAACGAAAGTTAGAAGCAGTTCATATAACAGTAACCCGCTTAGTTTAATTATTAACTGTCCGCAAAAGCAGTTCTAAAATGATGCACTGATGTGTTAGAATTTACTATGGATCGTTACTTTAATGGAGGGAGGCACTGGTGGCTACTTGAAATGACCGCTTATGATTCTTTTGCAGTGTGATACAACATGGAAGTGAAACTGATCTTACCCAGGTGAGAAATAAGCTGAACGAGAACTAGGGAGATCCGTTGGAAGAATATGTTGGCGTGCTTGTTTCGCAACCTCGAGCTACAACATTGGCCACAAAGAAGATCCCTACTTTGGCACTGCAGTAACACATCAAATTTTGAGAATTTTACAATTATAAGCAAAGCTGTCTTTGTTTAGACTAGAAGAGCACAATGTGATGTAAACCAACTAATCGCCCGGATTCTCTATCACTCCTACGTCAGTTGTAAGAAATATCTTTGGCTTGCTATTGCAGGAAAAAAGATGCTGCCAGTCCCAATTGAAAACAGAATTCATCTTAATTGGTTTGGTTAATTATATTAGGCCGTTAATATTAATTTTGACGGACTCAAATTCCCGGCCAAACCCTTGCAATCTTTGGGAAAAGTGTTTTCAAACAGGAAAATTTCAGATTTTGATTGGAAGAATGCAGTTAGAAGTTTAGAAGAAAGTAATACTAATACCTTAACTGAAACAAAAGCCAGTTTGAGTCTCCTCTAAATGAAAACACCTTACTTCTATCTTTCCGCTGTCCACATAAGACCTGCAAACATAGTCATATGGGGGTGCGATTAGAATTCAAAGTGACAAATCAACTTCTAAGAAAGATTTCCAAATGATGGACAACAGAAAACCATGACGAAAAGAGAACCAAGGTAACTTACATTCTGCAGTTATTAAGATATATATGCAAATGCAAAAAACCAAACAAAAGTCCATTTTGAAAAATTCTTAATCATATAAACATCTTGTAGGTCCACGAATAAAAATAAAGCTTCTCACAACTCTAAATGAAACAGAAAACAGAATGAAAACAGAAGGTTAGTTCTACTATTAGTAAGCCAAACACAAAAACTCAATACACATCTTAGGAAGCCTTCAAATCTCATAGCTATATTGGTCATTGATGGTTCTTCAAGATTATCATTATGAGCCTTTTCACATTTTAAACTGTACAAGCCATAGAGAGGGAGAGGACAAGAGAGACAGAGAGACAGAGAGGTTGGCGGAGATGATGATGACGATGATGAAGTTGAAGACTAGTACAGAAAAATATGATAAAAAAAGACTCCTAATAATCCGCATAACCACTCCAAAAATGAGTTTTCCATCATTAGGCTTATAAAAATTAGCACATCATTAGTTAAATCTCAAAATTCTCAACCCTAGGATAACAACTTGACAATTCATTTGCAATGCAATGAAAATGAGTTCACTGCACAATTATAATAGTAACAACAAGAAATCGACCCCAAAATTTTCAATCCAATGACATTTCATGCAGTACACCTAAAAAATGTAAACTAGCATCAGCGAAAACAAAAAAATTTATTGCAGCACTGAAACACCTATGATCCAAAGGGATTTAAACAGGGGTGGCTGCATGTCAATCAATAATCGCAGTTATAAAGGAAAATATTAAAGCCCGTCAAAGAACTAGAGGCTTTATTGACAACCAGTCGGAAAAAAAGAGCATAACTATGGAAGTAGAGAAATGAGATGAATATAACTGCTTTTATAAAATAAACTTGGTACTTCCTAATCCTATGATGGCATGACTGACCGAGAAAACAACTTCTGATACAAGATGCCCAGAAGTGCAAGCTAGTTCGAAGAAATAAAAAAGATACCATTCAAAGTACCACATGACAGTCAAGATGTGATTCCCAGTACACATGACAGGCTTGCTTCCCATGCAAATCATGTTTTCGAAAACATTTAACATCAAAAGTGAAATAATAACCAAGAGTAAAGAAATGTCAAGAACTAATCTTTTAGAAAGGCAGGATCTTCTTTACCGTTTTCAATACATCAAGTTACATCAAGTTATAAGAAAAAATGTTCACTGAAAAAGTACGTAGTACCACCTTAGAAGAATTTGTTAAACACGGCATGATGAAAAAATTGGATGAAATTATGGCAGAGAAAATGAACATAAATTGAAAAACAGCTTTGTGCATACCATCTGATTACAAACTAAGATCTGACCACATATGCATCGAGGCATAGCCTGCAAGATAATCATTCGTTTAGCATCACAGTTACTATAATTAACAAAATGAGAATATAAGTGAAAGATACTGTCAATTTCCATTTACGTAAAACTTTACAAGCCAAAGGTGTACCAACATACCACCAATTTACAAACAATATTTCCCCAAACTATCAATTTAAAACTAACCTATTGATCAAAGTGAAACAAGTATGATTCCACTTAAATCCAGTTATCTGACAAGCCCTACTTCCTGTATTGTCCCCGGAAAGGGTACCATGTTTCAAACAATCTAAATAACAACAATCTTAAAAATAAAAATAAATAAATAAAAAATAAAAAAATAACAGTGGAAAAGATGGGCATTTAAACAGTAAATGAGAAATCAAAAGACTTGACACTTTCTTGACCGAGAAATAACAGTGGACAACTTTTTCATGCGGTGTTGCGGCTTAGGCAAAGGTAAATCCTTGACTTCCAGAATTTGAATTTTCCTTCTCTTTCTTGGATCCTGTTGATAAGCTTGATGGAGTTTTCTCTTACTAGACTCCATCTTCTGTGCATCATTCCAATCCACATCAGGTTTAGGAGTCTCCTTACGAGGGTTTATTGTGGAAGAAGAAAGAGGGCTCTCCTTATTAGGGTTTTGCGCAGAGGAAGCAAGTGGATATAGACTTTGGAGCACTATCTCCAAGACCTTGCCTTTACCGAAGGATGGGGAAGCTTTACCCTTGTTCTGCTTTGCTGGTTGCGACTTAGGCAGTTCGGGTGAAGGCAAAATTTGAGTTTTCCTTCTGTTTCTTTGTTGGTGTTGATAAGATTGGCGGAGTTTTAACGTACAAGACTCCATCTTGCGTGCATCATTCCAATCAATATCAGGTCTAGTAGGTGGTTTAGAGCTGTCTTGATTAGGGTTAGGGTTTTGCGGCCTAGAAGAAGGAAGTGGAGGAGCTACGGTGACACTGAGGACTGTCTGAGGCTCGTAAACCTTCTTCTTCTTACCGTCAAAAACTGGAAGATCTGTCACTGCCACTGCCACCAATTGGTCGTCAAGATCAACATCGTCGAAGAAGGTGGAGGGATTGAAGTCCAAGTCCATGGACTGGACGATCGAGAAAGCTTCAGGATCAAATACGATTTGATCAAAGTCGTCGTTGCCCTCCAACTCCATCATGTTCTTTCAAAATCGAAAGTTGCCGAGCCCAGAAGCCCAGAGAGAGTGGATCGATCCACTTAGGGTTTTCCGCAATTAGGTTTTCAATTCAAAAAAATTCAACGCATGCGAGAACACAATTTGTGTGCAAAATCGACTAAAATAAACACCTCGAGAAAATTAAATGAACCAAGAGAGAAGAAAAGGGGAACCTGTTTGTAAACTTGATGGTATCCCAGAGCGAGAAGCTCGTTGCCTGGAATCTATCTGTCTCTGTTTCAAAGTCGTCCCCAGAGAAGAAAACGATGTGAATGGCGTTACGAATTTGGGGTTCTAGGTTCCGTTTGATTTGTTTCGGATTGGGGAAATCTCTTTGATCTGCAGTGCAATTCAATGCAACCTAATTCGGTAGAGGAAATTAGGGTTTCAGGTTTGATCAGGGAGTAATACGAGAGCGAGAGAGGGAGGGATGTGGGTAGCGTTGATCGAGAGCGGGAAAGAAGGAGAGATGATGCGTTTCGTTTTTGAATTTAGGAGGTAATGACCGTTTGGATGTTTTTGTAGTTGCCAACTCTCGCCGCCTGTTCGGTGATTAATTGACCAAAATACCCTTAACTTGTAATTTTTTTTCTCTATTCTTGGTTCCACTCTAGTTTTGTGACTCTGAGGATTATTTTGTAATATTAGTTCTTCAATCTTCATTCAACAGGTTATAGCTGCTTTCACTTTTTACGATGATTTAGTAGTATTTTTCTTCACTTGTAAGTAAAAGGTTTTAAATTGATTCTCACTAAAGGCGAATTAAAACCATATTATTGCTAGCCAATTATGAGACTTAGCCATTCCTCAACCTCTTAGACGATCTCCAACCCTTGAGTTAAAATGCAAAATTTTTGACCCAGAAAATTTAAGTTTTAACCAAGAACAGTTTTTTTGCTCCAACCCTTCTAGGTTAAATTTTTAACCCGAGATTACTAAAGAATAAATTTAGGATAATTTTTTTCTTAAAGTAACTTTTTTAAAAATAAAAATTATGTGGAATATTCTAATTTAATTTTATGAACATTTTAACCTACAAATATTTAGATTACGATAAATATTAAAAAATCATTAAACCGACACCATGAAACTGATAGAACACTATAAAAGAATATGAAACACACGAAAGAATTTATTTTCATTATTTTGGTGGTTGGATTTAAATTTGGATTGATGGATTTTTTTTCCTTTTTTTTTTTTTTTGTTTACTATTGGATTTGATCATATTAGATCTTAGACGTAGAATTCAATGAATTTATAAATATAATATTAAAAAAAATACACACATATGGTGGGCCAACCCGTTAACCCAGGGGAAATTTTGACTTAAATTTGCGCTAGAAATAAGTTTTGGGTTAAAACTCATATTTAGCCCAAGAGTTAGAGGCTTAGAGCAAGTTTGGTGAGTTTAGAACCTTAAATTTGATTTTTACTCTAAGAGTTGAAATTAGTCTTAGTGTGGATAATATTATTTGTTAAAAAAAATATTAAAAAAGAAAAAGGACTATCGCTACTAGCCGAAATTTTTGACAATAGAAATGTTAAGAAGACTCTCAAAATGAGATGTTTGTGTGAAAAGTAATATTTGGCTCTGCATTTTTTCAGTAATTGTGACTCTTTCTATGTCTTTTAAGAATACATTACTCATTATTTATCTAACAATTTGATGTTTATGCGGAAAGTAATTGATAAACTTGATAGCTTTGCACTAATGCATCCAACTTTTTGCCTTCTTCGGGATATTTGAAGCAAAGGAGATTATCAGACGTGGCACTAAGAAAAGGTACACATTTTTCTTTTCATTTGTTTGTTTTAATCATAATGCAATGCAATTATGTCTGCTTTAGGTTTAGTGTTAGAGTTCAAATCAATGAACTAACGGATGGTTAAGACGGTCATCAAGTTTAATTTGAATATAACCGTAAAGAGGAAATTAGAGTAATTGTCCATGAACTTTTAAACGATTAGAGCTTTAGTCCTTGAACTAAAAATTTGTGATTTGTGATCCTAAACTGGTTAAAAGTAAAAATAACCGTGGGATTCAGTGATTGAGGAAACTCAAGTACTTATTATCTAATCGTCCCGCCGTTGAGCAACTAACCGTGGATCACGCCACCGGAAATCGGGTTAATTAAGAGTTTCGGGCCCTTCGATTGCCTTGAAGTATCTAGCTATAGAATCTGGTTTTAACCTCAAAAACATTGAACAACCTTGTTTCATTCAACTTTCGTGGACGTGCTATAAACCTGGTTCTTAGTAAGGTACCCTTGCTTGTTCAGATATCCATGTCCGTCGACCTAGCATACACCGGTGACCGTATATCCATAGAGCTTCCTTTTAGCCAACTTTCTTGCTGTCTTTCTCAGCTAGAGTTTCTTGAGTTGGATGCCGCCGGAGCTTTCTACAAACAGGATCATGCGTTTCCTACATTAACAAATCTCGAGCAAAAGAATGAGCAGCAGCAGCTGGACTAGGAGGCCGAGGATTTCCAATGGCATTCCAAACCCAAAGAGAAACACTGCAACTTCTCAACACCCTCCTCCTGACCCTCTGAACTGAAGATTTGCAACTTCTCAACACCCTCCTCCTGACCCTCTGAACCGTCCACACATCAAGGTCAGAATCAACTGGGATGGATGAAGTTATGTATCTGCACCAAGAACACACTTCTGACCACATGATAATTAAATCCCTATGCTTGAATCACGTTATTTAAGCAACGGAGCAGACATTTAGGTGAAACAGATGAAGTAACTATACAAATTTCAAAAAATAACATAATTTTCCATTGCAATCCTTCAAAATCAAATCAGATATATGTTGCCTGAATGGTCGGCCCTAAACAGAATCAATGGACACAAGACTGGTTTACATGGGAGAACAAAATTTCGGGTTAGGTTAAAATAACTGCAGTTAGTTGTTAATGGGCAGCTGCAAGACTAGTTACATTTCACGTTCTGTAGCATGAGAGAACTGAATCGTGGCAGAGACGCCAATACTCTTTGTAGGAGATTAGCATCCACGGAAATATTGGAAGATCAGTTCCGATTGTAGATGGAATCCTGGAACCAATTCAAAGAGTTTAAATTTGAAAAGCCAGGAAATAACGGTCAAATTTGAATTCAAATTTCAACTCACCGTCTGCCAGTGAGGACTCCATAAGCTGCAGTAGCAACCAATGTCCGAGGTTTCCCAGAAAGAAGCTTTTTGTAGTGAGGCATGACTATTTGTCCTGATATGAATATTCCATCAATACAGTTAGAAGAAAAGTATCAGACATAAATAGGTATACTTTATCACTTCGACAGTACAACGCATCTTTCAGCTCGTTATCATGAATGCATGTTCTGCATAAGCATAAATTCATGCATATAACACAATCTGCATAAAACTTCATTTGGAATTAGCTTATTAAAGCAATGCTACAGAAAACGCATGTGCACAGGTAAACAGAACCTTGCGACAATGCACTTGAATTATTTAAGTTTTAAAGCTTTTAATTTTGCATGGTCCTGACTCCTGATCGACTTAAAATGAAATATTTCAAAAGCAAAGCCCAAGTAATTGACGTGAAGCTTTCAGACTTTCTGAGATACGGTAAACTACAGAAACATCATTAATGCACTTAAAAAAAGATCAAGCTCTCACCTACAGTCAAGAAGTTACTATGGAGAAATGAAACCACAACAGAAGATCTAGTGAGGTCCTTTCCGGTCTGCAGTTTATCTGATGGTGAAATAATACCCTTAGGAGAATCAATTCCACCACTCCAAACAGACACTATTTCAAACCATATCCCAGTTGGAAATCTTCTCGGCCTGACCAACCAAAGGAAAATTTTGATATATGGTGTGGCATGGATAACAGATATGGTCACTTCAATCAGAACACAGATAAGGGTGATAGTCGTGTTCATAATGGTAAAAAAGATGTAGAAAACAGAAGTTGTCGGTAATAGAAGTAGGAGTGGTGTGAACAGAAGAGATCCAACGATGTGTTGCTTGACAGTGTAGTCATAGCTATCTAATCTCTGACGAAGAGGATTCCACTTTCGGCCCCTGAGAAACATTCAGCAAGTACATGAGAAACTAGATGTTACAAAACAGCAAAACAATTACTAAAAAAGGACAAATTTTACTTATGCCTTCACCAGCTATATACAATTGAAATTCTATATATCAATGAATTGAGAGAGGTGCACAACAAAAAGGAAGCTTTTCTCATAAAATAGCAATTCACGTCAATTAATTATAACAAAATTATCTTCACTACACCAAAGACTAGCACGTCTTGTATGGGCGTACACTGTACATATTTATACATACAGACATTAGTACATACATAAGTATATCAACAGATAAATGGATATAAAAAGCATAGCAATCTTCTAGATACAGGATGTTATGCCTACTTATATTATAAAAGGAAATATATGAGAAGTTAGTGGATCCACAGATTTAACATTTTAGCTTACACGAAAATGACTCTGCTATGGGAATATGGGGTTTCCAATTTCATTTTTTAGCATTATGGGCATTCTTATCGCAGATGACAGCTGCATATATGGAAAATCTAATATGACTATACAATCAAACCCCTATATAAAAGCACAGTCGCAACTAGCTAGGCAAATAAAAAGGTCAAGGTTAAACCAACGAGCAAAGTTCCGCAATGACATAATCAGGGAAAGAACTGCCTCTTGGAAGGTTGGCTGTGCTTCTAAATCTTTTCAATTTCATGCACACCCCTTTGTTACATTTGCAATCGAGGACAAAACAACTTCATCTAATAAATTAACTGAGTGGTGATGTGGCAAGGAGGTAGATGTCTCTAAACATACCTATCATATAATTTTCACATTGCCAGACAGAGTCAACATTTTGTCCTGGATTGCAAATGTAATCAAAATACTAGGGTACAATTAAAACATATTTAAAGTACAGGGAATTGGAAAATGGGCCAAACTGCAGGAAATACAAGTGTAATTTGACTGAAGAACTATGTATTAAAGACCTACAAATCCAACCAACAGGTGCTGAATACGCATATGATGTGTTAAGGAATAGAAAATAGGTTGGTTAGAAAAATGACCCTATCACATGTATACAATACCCAAAGAAAACTGAAAAAGAAAGAACAAGACATCACCAAGTAATACCTGAAAAGGCGCCACAGAGCTGCTAATGCTTGTATTTGAGTTGAATACAAAAGTGATATCAACCAATGAAGAGTAGACACATGCAACGTTGCTAGTGCAATCAAATCGATTATCAAAGCAGCAGGTATAGTCACCCCAAAAATGATTCCTGATATAGCAAGTCCTCTAATGAAATAAAGAAAGTGGGACCCCAAAAAGATCCAAATGGTAGACCAAATCTGGATAGCAGTTAGAGAAATCATCCCAAGAACTCCTGCCAATTCATTGTTTAACTTAAAACCAGCAGGTACCCCCATCAACCAAACACAGCCT